ATACAAAGTCATCTTATTGCCCCCACAAACTGGGTCCTCATTTCATCTACCTTAGAAAGGATGGAAGGCTGAGTCAACCTTGAGCCTTGGAGAGATTCGAACCAGCAGTAATTGCAGGCAGCTGTGTTAATAACAGGGTGCTTAGACCACTGTACTATCAAGGCCCTTAAGGCCTTTGTAAAGCAAGGCAAAGAGCCAAGGACCACTTTTTAATCCTGACCTAAAGCTCCAATTTGTCCTGTCTGCCCATCATAGCAACTATGAAAATGAGAGGAGATGCTTCCACTAAATTAAAGCAGAATTATTTGAGCTCTGAAATTCTTTGAAAAATAGCTTGGTATCTGGTGTTCAGCATTCCCCCAAAACTGCTGCCTTCCTTTTTTCCTGTTTGGTAAAAGGATATTATATCATTATAGATTTTTGTCTCCTGGTGCTCAAGAAAGCACAAACTGTGATGATGAGCAAGAAGTGGAGTGTTGAGTCAAGTAGCATCATCATTTCTTTTAAGTCCCGTTAACTTGAATATTACAACCCCATTTCTTTTCCTAGAATATTATAATTATTGTTGTGGTATCCATTATGTAGAAGATTGCAGCGCTATGCATGGAACTGTCCTGAGAATTTATTGTTCTTCATTCTTGCTTTGTAGAAATCCAAGAATGAGGATGAATCATTTGTTCTTGAACTAAGCTCCGATGAGGGCTCTTCTGCTCGGCCCATGATCCGTGGAAAATCAATTCGCAGTAAGAAGCTAGTTCATTATCTGGAGCAGTCGGACGATGACCACTTCTAATCTTAACAACAAAATATATTAGTTCTTTAGTAAACAAAGATATTGATTCTGGATACTTTTTAATGGATACTTTCTGGATACTTTTACCTGATGGTATGAAATGTTGTCGTGGTTTTTTCTAATGCTGTAAATATTTTTGTGTGCTTTTTATAATTATAGCAGTCATTTATTCTTGATAAGACCATAAATAATAAAAAGCAGTCGTTTACATTTTGTTCATGTCTTTCTTTCGGTAGTAAAATATATATGCTTTATTCTCTGGACTCATTCAGACAGCATTCAGATATTAGAACATCTGATCTCAAAGTTCTCTCTAGATTGTTCCATCCAGATTGCCATTCTAAAGTTCCTTGCATGCACTTTGGAAACTAAAATGCTAGCCAGCTTTTATGACTTATTATCATTTAAATTACTGTAAAGCAGGATGGAGAGAGCCACCTTGATGCAACAGTTAAGGCAGTATAGCTAGAAATCAAGGACCCTGGTTTCTAGTCCAACCTTGGACACAAAGCCAGCTGTTGACTTGTGGCCAGTCATTTTATTTCAGCCCTAGGAAGGAGATAATGATAAATCACTTCTGAGAAATCTTGCCAAAAAAAACATAGGCACTTGGTCAGGAAGTCTCTGAATATCAAACACAATTTGGGGGGGGGGGATGGATGAAGGCTTTCTGCTTCAGTCAAGAATATAAAAACATTAGGGCTAGGCAATAAAGATAATTCATGCATTAGAATAGATTTGACCAGGAAGAGCTTTGGAATACAAGGAGCACAAGTGCAGCACTTAACTACAATTCATGAAAGTAATTGCCTTTTTGTGATTATGTGGTTACTTCATGGAAATGTAGGACCGATTTTCTTGTCCTCTGATCCAATCAGTAAGGGTTTTTGAGGGCCAGGCATTTTAACAGCCCTGGAGTAAGATACTTACTGAATTGTTTAGCTATTTTCTTCATTTCAAGGGGAAATAATGTTTTATAAAATGCTCCCTTCCTCTAATTAGATACTAAATCATTTTCAGTTATTTCTGAGCTTACCAGTTAATCATAAAAAGGCAGTTACTTTCATAAATTGTAGTTAAGTGCTGCACTTGTGCTCCTTGTTCTCCAAAGCTCCTCTTCCCTGGTCAAACCTATTCTAATGCATGCATTGTCTTTATTCACAGAAGGAAAGCTGTCCCTCCACTAATAAAATTGGGGGGGGGGGATATCTGCACTGTGCTAAACACAACTAAAACTGAATATATTGATTTCTGCAGACTTCTCCAAGGGAGTCCCAGCTTGACAATTGTTTTAGTAAATTCCAGTTCAGGACATCACATTTTGAATGAATCATTCATCTACTGAGGGAAGTGTGGAGTTTTACTGAAAATCTACATTCTTAGGTACTTAATGAGTTCAAGTTATTTTCCTTTATTGCTTCTGTTGTCCAAGCAGAAAATCTTAATAATTGGGTACAGTAATACAAATCCTATTATAGAATATAATTTCAAAACCCTAAGAATAAAATCTACCTTTCTTTTCTTGATCCAGTTCTGGACAGTAGAGGGGAAGAAGTAGTGAGAATTTAGAGACCATTAAAAAGCAAATGTTATCAAACTAAAATCCTGAGAATATTTACAGTCAAGCTAAAATGTTAGAATAATGAAAGATTTGTCTAAGGAATACCTTGTCCATCCCCATCTCCCCCCTCCTCCTCCCCGAATTGAGCACACAAATAAGCATCAGATTGGAAGGCAGAAAATCTAGAGCAAAGACTCATGCAGGTACATTACATGCAGCTCTGGAGATACATAATTTTGTCACAGGGCAGCAGGGAGAGCAAGTGATAACAACTCCACAGCCTTGAAAAAATAATATATCACTTGCAAAGGTTATTCAGAAAGCCTCTTTAGGGCCAAACTCCAAACTATATTTTGCTTTCTCTTTCACTGATGAATCTCACTTTTGAAAAAACACAGATCTGAGCATGATGTTATCTGGCCCGGATCTTTGGTGTGGCCCCTTCCTCTCCACCCAGCATGGATCATCCAAATGACATTCCAGGGCCCTCTATCAGTTAGACCAAAGTGTTTATTGGAAAGCAGTCAAGTGTTGAAAGAACTGTCAGAGTTTCCACTGGGGGGTGGGGGTGGCGGGGTAGAGACTGGATGGGATGGAAAGGAATATGGCTGCAGAATTTCAACCAACACTCCAGTCTCCTGTACTGTGCTATTTAAAGGCTCTCAAATCACTAAGAAAAATCTCAGCAGCATTGAATGCACCTTATGGAGGAACCAGATGTCCAATTCCTTTGTCTAATAAGAGCTTTTTCAGAGTTATGGATGTGCTGTTGGAAAACAATTTTTGGTTATTTATTCTTTATAAAATGTATAGTCTACTCTCCTCTTGTTTTTATAATAATCGTGCACAGTACGGAAAGTTGAGAGATAACAATACACATAGGTATGTATTTTTATTTTCTGGCTTAATACCTTTCCTGAACATAGCCATTATAATTTGCAAACCATAATTTATACCTTAGTGTGTTAGCCAATTGTTTTTTATTTGTAAAATCATGGTTAAGTATTGAATTTCCATGATTTGTGATTCAAATTCAATCATAAATTCTTGGCCAAGTAGGAAATTAATCTAAATCCATCTTAATTCTATGAGTAATGAAAGCTAATAATTAAATTTAAAAAACCGACCTAACGTAACACACATTTTTGCACCATATTTTATCCAGTCTCAATGATACTCATCTTTGCCTTGAATTTTTTCTTGTTGAATCTCATGTCTAAAGTCCTGAAAGTCGGTAGAGATAATATCTTTTAAACCTGACATTGTTTTCAGAGATTTAGCATTGCAGTTACAAAACATACACTATTACTTTATGTACAAATGATTTTTCTGTTTTTGCAACATTTAAGACATATTTCAGAAAAGTCCCTTAAGCTAGTTGACCGTTGTACACTGGTCTTGGTTCTTATAAGCAGATAAAAAATCAACACATAAGGCAATGTCCATTATCATATCAACTTCTGCTTCAAATATTGGAAGAAAGCCCTCAGCTTCAGGTGTGTTAAAAGCCTGTATTTGAACTTGAATGCTGGACACCCATGTGAGATCATGTCAATAAAAAGAAAAAAATATGTTAAGTTAGAACAGGACGAGACACCCAAATTATCAGTATTAATTTTAAGGATACCTAGCAGAGACCAATTCAATATTACCTTGGAAAGCAAGCAATTTATTAATGGCCCCCAATAATGCCTTATTAGCAATAACAAGTAAATGTTCTAAGGAAAGCACAGCTGTTAATGATGGCCGGCCTATAAACTATTGTTGAGGGCATGATGTCATAGCTGCAAAGTCTGGAAGCCAAGACAGTTGCTTACCCTATAAACAACCATACATCTGGGTGTCAGAGTTTTCCCTGGTCTCTCTCTTTTTCTTGGCTTCAGGCAGAGAGATTAGAGCAGGAAAAACAAAGTCAAACCTGGTGTGGCTCTGTTTATGGAAGGAAACAGGTCTGCTCCACAAGTGGAAAGCAGAAGAGCACCCCAAACAGAATTCCACAGCAGAAGTTGGCAATGGTCTGGACTAGATGATCTTTAACAATCCCCTCTATCTCTCCAGTTATGAGATAGATACATATTGGCAGCAGCCCACATCTGTCTGGTTTGAAGGTCCCAAGTTTAGTTCCTGACATCTTTCCTACAAAGATCTTTTCTACAGAGCCAAGAGGAGAAAGAAAAAGAGTCCAGTTCTGAGAAATGAGAAATCCCTAGCCCTCTTCTTGGGAGACATTTCCAGGTCCCTTCTAAATGTAAGAACCTCAGAATCAAAAATAACAAGGAAGAATGAGGAGGGTTAAGATATATTTTTCTAAAAATCTTTTTTAAAAAAAAAATCTAATCTATTATCTTTTATTGGAGATTCCTATAACGTTTAGTTTTGTTAACAGATAGGTCAGAATTCTCTTTGCTTTTTAAAATGAGGTTAAGTCTGAATAGACATCATCCCTGCCTGCTGCCTCTAAGGCATGAGAAAGTATCTGCTTCCTAGAGAGGAAAGGAAATGGGGCATTGTTGTCCCCTTGCTGGGAAGACCACTAGGCAGGCTAGAGAAACAGCCCTGTCACTTTAACAGTTGAATATTTCCAGGCTGAGCTAAAGGAAAAGCCCACCCTCTTTCTCTCCATGCCACTATCCCAGCTAGAGCTGAAGGCTGCAGGAAGAGAACAAAAGATGCCACACAGATTCAAAACCCAGCTTTAGGTAAAGCAGGTGCCAGCATCCCAGGTGACAAGAGCTGAGATCTTTGAGCAAGCCAGATGGAGAGCTGATATCTTTGAGCAAGCCAAAAGAAGGCATCACATCAGAACTGAAATACAGGTAAGATGGAGAAAAGTTGTATCTGCTTTCCAAAAGTAGACTGCTGAAAATTCTACTGCCATATGGATAATTTTATTTAGAAAAGCGGGATAGGAAGAAAAACAATGCAGTGTCTAAAGGAGAACATCTTGGGGAGGGGGTGTATTTTGTGTATACCATATACCTTTGCAGTATGATGGTTCCAGGTCTTTTCTTAGAGTGAGGATTATCGGAAGCAAATGTTTCATAGAAAGGAGTGAGCTGAAAAAGTCTTCAGTCCTAGTGAGTAATTCTCCACATTATTCCCAATTAATTTTATGCAAATATTCAATGCTTTCAGGGATAATGTGGGCCTTCCTCTATTCTTAGAGGTTGACTCAGCCTTTCTTCCTTCCAAGGTGGGTAAAATGAAGACCCAGATTGTTGGGGGCAATATGCTGACTCTGTAAGCCGCTTAGAGAGGGCTGTAAAGCACTGTGAAGCGGTATATAAGTCTAAGTGCTAAGTGCTATTGCTATTCTAGAAACTTTACAAAGTGGGGACAAACAACTTTTTTTTTTATTGGACCGCAGTAAGCATTAATAGAGTCAGCTAAGTTAGGGAATAGAATCATAGAATCATCAGGCTGGAAGAGACCTTGGAGGTCCTTATTCTATTCTGAACAAGTGGTTGTCTAATCTTTTCTTAAAACCGTCAAGCGATGGAGCACTCACACCTTCAGGAGGCAAACTGTTCCATTGATTAATTGTTCTCACTGTCAGGAAATTTCTCCTTAGTTCCAGGTTGGATCTTCCTCTGACAAACTTCCACCCATTGCTTCTTGATCTGCCCTTTGGAAAATAATTGATCCTCTCTTCAAGTACTAGAAGTAACAGTAACAGAGTTGAAAGGGACCTTAGAGGTCATCTAGTCCAACCCCCTGCTCACGCAGGAGACCTAGACTAGAGATTCGAACTGCCGACCTTTCTGACTGACAAGCTCAGCCACCTAGGGAGCTGCCTAGAAGATGACTATGATGTCACTATAAGCTTTCTCTTTCTTAGACTAAACCTATTGAGTCCCTTAACTGTTCAGATTATTGTGCAGTTAATTTTCTTATTTGCATTTATATCCACTTGTTACTAGAGTGGTCCAGGCAGCTGATACTTCACATAAAATAGTTAAAACCCTAAAAAAATTGCAAAATTTATTTGTGCTGCAAAATTAAGGATCATTTTAGGTATAATCATCAGCATTACTAAAAGTAATTTCATGTAGACATTTACATTTTATTAAAAAGATTTCCCAATGCCTCTTTTAAATACGCAAATATTCTTTTGCTTTCCTAAGCATTTATGCAGTAGCTTTTTAACTACATTGAAATTATGTTTGTTTGTATGTGTGTGGCTATTAGTGAAAATAAAATCATAGGTAAATAAATGAGAAATAACCGTGCATTTTATAAATTAATTATAGTGGGCATACAGTTATTAATCAATGAATTAGGACTATGAATTAAAGCTTTGGCCTACTGAATAGCCTGATAAATTTATAAACATGTAAGTGCACACTAATACTGACATATTTCTCTATAATATGAAATAATGTAGAGTTTAGTATACTGCAGAGTAGTTTTCTAGCTACTCTGGGCTAGAGAAAAAGTATCTGTGATATATTCTGTAATATGTTCTAATTTAATCCACATACAAATCTTTGGTATTAAATTATCCTATTAGAATAACTAAAAATAAGAAGCAACAATGAGCGTGCCATCCACATAGTGAGAGATAAAAATCTGGGCAATTTGTACTATTTTAATATTGTTCCATCCTATCAAAAGTGGATCATTCCTTTAAACTATATGAAAAGGAGAATTCAAAATGAACTACTTCCTCACAAAATTCATAGCATATTTGTGATAAACAATCTCCCATGACATCCTGATGGCTACAGGTTGTCTTCAACTCACAAACATTCATTTAGCAATCATTCAAAGTTAAAACTGAACTGAAAATGTGACATACAACCAGTCCTTGAATTTAAAAATATTGCAACATTCTCACGATCATGTGACCAGAATTCAGGCTCTGGGAAACTGGCGTGTATTTTACGATGGTATCCCAGGGGCATGTGATTGCCATCTGTGACCATCTCAGCCAATTTCGGACAAGCAAAGTCAATGGGAGAAGACAGATTCATTCAACAGCCATGAATTTAGAATTGCAGTGATTTGCTTACCGATAGTGGCTAAAGAGGTCATAACATTGGGCACGACTCATTTAACAATTACCTTGCTTAGCAATAGAAATTTTGGTGCCAATTCTGGTTGTAAGACAAGGACCACTTGTATAGCCACACAAAGCCTCTCATGGTTCCAGAATGTTCTCACAGCTTAGATTCTGTAGGTTTTGGCAACTTTCTTCCTATTTTTTTGCCGCAGAAAGTTCTGTTTCCAGAAAGCAGGACTGGTTAGCATGGGTTAGATATTTTGATCTAACCAGTGGTAGATATTGTATGTTTTAAATTGAGATTTATAACCCAGTATTGGAAATGTGCATTCCTGCACAGAGAAAGATCTCTGAAGTGAAAGAGAACAATGTGGGAGGCTCTGAGAGGTGGGGGGAAGCAACCTCAACCAATTGTCTTCTAATAAAATGTTTATAGAAAGTTGTTTTGTGAGTGTGCCTATTCTCAAAATTCTAATTTTGTCCACTAACCCCAAAAAGTTGTGAATCCTTTGCTCTAAAAGCATAACTTTTGAAGTGTAAAAGTATACTTGGCTTCTTTTTTTAGTTCTAAAGAAGTGCTTCATTCGCTTACTGTACATTTAGCCCACATTTATGACTGTTTTTAGGCATTGATTTTCTCCAGAGACTGCTCCTGTCTCTGCAATGCCCAGTGGAAATTCTTGTCTCAGCCTAATGAAGCAATCTTTCCCCAAAGCAATTTACCCACTTAGCTAACTGGGATTGGGATAAGCTGTGAGATAGTAGTTGAAATTCCTTCTTTCCAGATAAGTTAACAACAGACCAAAAAAAAAAAAAATACATCCCTGTTTTGATGTTGCCAAGACTTTCATGTTCCTTTCAAAGCAAAATGATTTCCCCTAGAGTAGTTGAGATGAGAATGGAGAGAGTGATTCACTCTGATCTTTGGTACTACATCTACAGTATAGATATTTAGTTCATCCATAGTGTACTACCGTATTTTTCAGACTATAAGACACAACGGAGTATAAGATGCACCAAGATTTTGAAGAGGTAAACAAGAATTTGCCCTCCCCAGTCCCCAGGAGCACTCTGCAGGTCTCCCAAACTTTCTGTGCATCCAATTTTTGTGAAAATGGGATGCGCAGAGGGTTTGGGAGGGCTGCAGAGTGCTCCTGGGGCCTGGGGAAGGCAAAAATGCGATGCATGGGGGGTTTGGGAGGCCAAAAATGGGCCTGTTTTTCATGAAAACGGGCCCAGTTTTTACAAAAACGGGGCATGCAGAGGGTTTGGGAGGCCTGCAGAGTGCTCCTGGAGGCTGGGGAGAGCAAAAATGCCTCTGTTTTTGCGAAAAAACGGGCCCATTTTAATGAAAAATGGGACTGTTTTTGGCCTCCCAAACCCCCCACGCCAGTGGTGGGTTGCCCCCGGTTCACATCGGTTCTATAGAACCAGTAGTAAAACCAGCAGGAGGCTCCGCCCACTGACCCTGACATCATCAAAAAGCTTCTGCGCATGCGCAGAAGAGCGTGTGTGTGTGCTCACTTCACTTGTGTGTGCGTGCAGCACCGCTACAAACCGGTAATGAAGGTAAGTAGAACCCACCCCTGCCACACGCATCATGTTTTTGGTGAAAATGGGATGCAGGGCGGGGTTTTGGGAGGCCAAAAATGGCTGTATTCAGTGTATAAGACGCACCAACATTTCTACCCGCTTTTAGGGTGGAAAAAAGAGTGTCTTATACTCCAAAAAGTACAGTAATTTGTTTATTCAATCTTGAAAACATGTGGATTCATATGCTACATGGGGATGCTTTTGAGGACCACTCAGAAGCTACAGTTGGTCCAAAATACACCTATGCCTTAATATGCCCATGTAAACCAGTGGTGGGTTGCCCCCGGTTTGCACCGGTTCTATAGAACCGGTAGTAAAACCGGAGGGAGGCTCTGCCCTTTGACCCTGACGTCATGAAAATGCTTCTGCACATGCGCAGAAGAACGTGCACATGCAGGAACGAAGCGAGCATGCGCACGTGGCCCCATTGCGAACCGGTAGTAAAGTTAAGTAGAATCCACCCCTGGTGTAAATCTATGTTTTGTAAGCTGCACTAGTTGCCAATAAGCTTCTTGGAGCAATTTATTTGTAAACCTGTAAAGCCCATCTGGCATAGGGCCTGCCTACTTGAGGGAACATGTGTCTCCCAAGGCAAAGGTGCTTTTCCAAAAGACAACTGGACTTCCTTGGTTATTTTCTTTGAAAATATTTTAATTCCCATCCTAGAAACATCTTTCTGAAGAAATGTCTTGGATGAGAAGCAAAACATTTTAAAGGAAAAAAATTAAGACAGTCCAATTGCCTTTTGGAAAAGCACCTTTGCGACAACCACAGTAATGGGTTTCAGTTTCGGCCACTACTGGTTTGCTCGTGGGCGTGCACGGGTGTGACACTTCTGCACATGCGCAGAAGCTTCTGCGCAGAAACATGCACAGAGATGTCCGGGCAGGTGGGCAGAGCCTCCTGCCACCGCCGCTACTGGTTCGCCCAATCCAGGACAAACCGGTAGCAACCCACCACTGGATAACCATGACTTGAATGATTGAGATCCTCCATAGACATGTGCCTCCCACAGTTTCCAACATCCTAATCTGTTCAGACAGAGTCAGGTGCTCTGGATCCCATCCATTAAGTAATATCATCTGATGGGATCTGGGAAGTATGATTTCACTGCTATACAGGGCCGGATTTTCCTATAGGCTAACTAGGCTTCAGCCTAGGGCCTCAAGATCAAGAGGGGCCTACATTCAAATTGTTAGCAAAATTAAAATTACACTTTCACTATAGGTGAAAGGGCCTCATAAGTGGAATAGCCTAGGGCCTCTTTTCATCTAAATCCGGCCCTGCTGCTATAGGGCCTGCCCGCAGGAACAGCATTCCTCCGGATATTCAGATGGTCCCAGTCTCACTCTCCTTCTAAAATGCTTTGAAGATCTGTCTCTTCCTCAAAACCTTCGGATACAGTGACTGCACAATTCCTTTGGGATGGTGTGTAGAAGTGAGACTGGTTGTGGATTATCATTTCAGGATTAACCATTAAGTTTTTTGGATTTTTTTTTTTTATATATACTTGCTTTTTATTGCTTGCTGTCCAGAGTTGCTTGGAGTTCAGCAGCTCTAAAAATATGCTATATAAATGTAAATGAATAAATACCATGTTTCCCTGAAAATAAGACCCTGTCTTATACTTTTTTTTTGAACCCTGAAATAAACACTTGGCCTTATTGCCATGCGCTCAAAAGCCCGATTGGACTTATTATCAGAGAATGTCTTATTTTGGGAGAAACAGGATATGAAGTAAATAAATACGAAGTATTATAGTGCCTTTAAGTTGGTTTAGATGCACAGCTGTCAGCAATAAAAGGTTCATGTGGAATTTTATTGCATGGCTGGGGAAGGGATATTCAGGTTATGTTACATGTTCTTTGTTTGTGTAACAATTCTGTGAATAAATCTAGACTAACATAGGCCCAAAATCACATAATCTGCATCATCTCTGAAAGAGGATTTGAACCCAGACATCAATTCTCCTAAGCCAGTATACCACACTGGCTATTTCAGAAAGTTTTTTTTTCCCCCTAAGAAGACAATCACCACATTTCTAGATATACTGGAGCATTTATCTTAGCAGAGCTTGAATTTCTTGGGGATTTCACTCAGTTACAACAACAAACCATGGATAACTTTAGGGGTTGCTTAACTTAAAACTGCCATGTGTACCTCTTAGATTGCTCAGAGGTCATTCCCAATAATGCATTTATTTCATTAATTTAACTTTACATGCAATCCTAAACTTCTACCAGGATCAAGACCCACTCTCCTCTTTGCAGGCAGAGAGACACAACTGAAACAGAAAGATCTCCTGCTATTGCTGAAACATTCATTTTATTCTACGCTCCGTTATTAGTAGAGTATTACCACAGGCGGTAGGTAGATCATTCCAAATTATTCACTGCTTGTGGAGGTCCATCATTTGATCGCATTTCTCCTCTATTCCCTCTATTTGCTATTTAACCATTTGCTTTTAGCAAGTCACCAATTCCCTTAGAGAACTTTATTTAAGATGATCTTTCTGTTCTTCTTTCCTTTCTCCTGCAGCAGCCATGGGCGAGTGGGGATTCTTGAGTTCCTTGCTAGATGCAGTGCAGGAGCACTCACCCATGGTCGGACGCTTCTGGCTGGTGGTGATGCTCATCTTCCGTATCCTCATTCTAGCCACAGTGGGCAGTGATGTCTTTGATGATGAGCAGGAGGAGTTTGAGTGCAACACTAAGCAGGTGGGATGCAAACAGATTTGTTACGACTTGGCATTCCCTATTTCCCATTACCGCTTCTGGGTTTTCCACATTGTGGTGCTCTCGGCCCCAGCTGTTATGTTTGTCATCTATTCTATGCACCAGACCACCAAGATCAACCGTGGCTTAAAGGAAATTGAAGGAAATCAGGAGGAAGCCAATCAGGCAGGGAGGAAAGTTCAGGAACAATTTGAACTCCAGCCTAGTCAACGAACCCGAAATATTCAAACTTTCTACATAGTCAATGTCATAGTAAGAATTTTGGCTGAGATGGGCTTTCTGGTAGGGCAGTGGATGTTGTATGGCTTCCAAGTAGGATATCAATATATCTGCGAGCATCGTATGTGTCCTCATCGCATTGATTGCTTTGTATCTCGGCCAACCGAGAAGACCATCTTCATTCAGTTCTATTTCATGGTGGGGCTTGTTTCAGCTTTTCTCAGCCTGGCGGAGCTGGCTCATCTTTTGCTCAAGAAGCGTTGCCGGAGACGTCATGTGATCGCTCCTCCTGCTACTGCATCTTATGAACAGCAGGACAATTGGTCCAATCAGAAACAAGAGAAATCACAGCACTTTCTAGCTCCACCTGATGGAGGTACCAAAGGGACATCATCTCATGATGGGATTCCTAACCATTATGAATCTAAGGCTCATTTTCATCATAAGAACTCTACCAAGAGCAGCCGATCTTCCCGCTCTTCTGCCAGAGGTGACTTAACAGTATAAGAGCAGAGAATACTTCCTTGTCTCTTTGATTTGTTCCCTGGATGAGCTGGATTCTTCCAGGGCCAGGAATATGAATGGACATCTATTTTCAGCTAAAGTTGAATATAACTTAGATCAAAAATGCAACATTCTGCACTATAGGACTTGGTCATAATTGTGACAATTCATTATTTACTTTCACATATTAAGGCTAGGTTGATATGTCTAAAAATGCTTAAATTTACTACAATGTAAAATAGATTGATAAGGCTGCTAATATGTTAGAATAGGGGGAGTAAAGGAGTGAGATGACTTTCCAGTATTCTGGGATTTTCCTAATAATTGAGCAAGTCCCATTTGAATTAGCAAAAGCTGGAATTTATCTGGCTATAGAAGAATATGAGTATCAATGAAAAAACAAGCAAGGACACTTTTGCTTTTTAAACAAAAAAATGCCAGGGCAGAGAAAATTCAGGCTTTTAATTGGCTGGTCAATGGATGTCAGGAGTCCTCCTAGTCAGAGGACTATAAATCAGTAAATGGGTATAAACCAGGGGTGTCAAACTCAAGGGCCGTGGGTCAGAAACGGCCCACGGGGTGCTTAAATCTGGCCCATGGGGCTAGCCTGGAAATAGCAAAGGATCAGCCCACGGTGCCTCCGGCAGCATCCCCCCATACCCCGTTTTGGCCGGCAGGATGCTGCAGGAGGCATCCGTCCCGTCTCCCCCACACACTGGCCTGCAGAGGAGAACTACAATACTGATCTGGCCCTTGAAGAAATCCAGATTGACACTCCTGGTATAAACTATTGTTCAAAAGCAAGACTATCTGGCTTCTACTGAGATATCCACTACTGCTTAATGTGCAAAAGAAAACTGGGGTAGATTTGGACATGGATGTTCTCTCAATGTAGTATATCCTCCAGAGAAACAAAAACTGTCCATTGGCATCGAGAGATCTTTGCTGAAGAATTTAAATTTTTTAAAAAAATTAAATGTGTGGTTCAAATTAAAAAGCAATAATCATGGGGAAAGGGGTCTAATATGTTGCAGAATAAAGTTTCACTTTAATATCTCAATTTACCAGGGTGACTTTGAATCCCACCTAAGACCTATGGACTTTCTTTACATATAAAAGAGGCAAGAAGCTGTTTTGCTTCAAAATATCTAATTTTCCTAGGAAAAAAAGATACCAGTAAGCCAATAGCAGAAGTCATTCTGTTAAGGTAGAAAAGGAAGCAACCTGACCTAATTAACTTTGGGTACAAGGATGTTTTATGGTGGGGTTAACACAACCTGTGGCTGCCATTTGGTGAATAAGCATACATCTTTCTAGGCAATCATTTTCCAATTGGATCCATCATATGCTCTCAAGATTTCAAGAATACCTACAGCCAAAGTTTTCTGCCCATGTGTTCAATGGGAGTTTTTCCTCTCAGAAAAATATTTAGGATAAATCTGCACTCTATAGCCTTGATTAGAAAAAACAACCTACCAAAGCGGTGTGTTGAAACATGGAGTTGCCTTTCAGTAATTGACTCATAAGAGACTTGAATGCTGTTTATTGGGGCAGTGGCAATCCAACTACAGGTAGTTTTCATTTAGTTACCAATCAGACTTACGATGGTGATGAAAAAATAACTCACATTTGAGACCTTTGGCAAAAGAAAGCCGAACTAAGATCAAACTCAATTGCAGTTTCATTTAAATACCCAATTCACTTAACAACTGTGGTTGTTAAGTCCCAATTGTGGTTACTAAACAAGGACTACCAAATCTTTGATGGCTAGCTCTGAGGAAAGATTGAACGCCCACATTTCATCTTGTTCTCCAGTTGGCACACAGCTCCAGAGCTACTATAGATGGCACATATAGTGGGAGACAGAAAGGGAGAAGACTGGTTGTACTCCAGATCCATCCACAGCAAGTCTTTTTTTTTTTTTTTGGTGGCTTGACTTATGTTAAAGACTTGCATTAAAGGACGGTTGCTGGAATTGGGTATGTCTAGTTTAATGAAAAGAAGGACTAGGGGTGACATGATAGCAATGTTCCAAAATCTCAGGGGTTGCCACAAAGAAGAGAGGGTCAATCTATTCTCCAAAGCACCTGAGGCAGGATAAGAAGCAACGGGTGGAAACTAATCAAGGAGAGAAGTAACCTAGAACTAAGAAGAAATTTCCTGACAGTTAAAACAATTAACCAGTGGAACAACTTGCCTCCAGAGTCCAGAAATTATGAATTCTCCAACACTGGAAGTTTTTAAGAAGAGATTAGACAAACATTTGTCTGAAATGGTATAGGGTTTCCTGCCTGAGCAGAGGGTTGGGCAAGAAGGCCTCCAAGGTCCCTTCCAACTCTGTTTCTATTCTATTCTATTCTAGTCTAGTCTAGTCTAGTCTAGTCTAGTCTAGTCTAGTCTAGTCGCCTAGTCTAGTCTAGTCTAGTCTAGTCCAGTCCATTCCATTCCATTCCATTCCATTCCATTCCATTCCATTCTATTCTATTCTATTCTATTCTAGTCCAGTCCAGTCCAGTCCATTCCATTCCATTCCATTCCATTCCATTCCATTCCATTTTATTCTATTCTATTCTATTCTATTCTAGTCCAGTCCAGTCCAGTCCAGTCCATTCCATTCCATTCCATTCCATTCATTCTATTCTATTCTATTCTATTCTATTCTATTCTATTCACTGCATCATAGTCCCAACTAGGGGTGAAATCCAGTAGGTTCTGACAGGTTCTGGAGAACGGGTAGCGGAAATTTTGAGTAGTTCAAAGAACCGGCAAATACCACCTCTGGCTGATCCCAGAGCGGGATAGGAATGGAGATTTTGCAGTATCTTTCCCTTGCCATGCCCACCAAGCCACGCCCAGAAAACTAGTAGTAAAAATATTTGGATTTCACCACTGATCCCGACCCTAGAAAGCATCCCCATGGGAACTCCTGAGATCTTGGAGAGTGGTCAGTAGTGGCTTGTCCCTCCACTTTACATCAAAGGTATTGCTCTGATCTCATTGAAGAAACTAATAAGTTTCATCATAAAACTTATTGCTTTTGTGAGTAATGTAGTCATTTTAATAGCAATCTGTTACATTTTGTACTTAAAGCAACTATTCGAAAGATTTTAATTATACCATTATGCCATGTATTATGTCCTACAGTTGGGTAGGAAAATGACAGCACTGGGACTTTTGCAGATTTGCTTCTGCTCTCATAACAAATATGCAGGAAATGGGATTTTTTTCAGCCTATATGGAGAAGCCACAACAGTTTCTGTTCCCAGCTCCTTGTACTTCCTTTCCACATGATCCATTTTTTTTCTCCCACAAGTCTCAGAGGGAATATTTTCAACTGCTTTTAAAAAGAAGTGCAATTTGAATCATCTACATAAGATGTTTACACCTACTCTACAACTAAGGCAGTATTTTCCAGATGTCTGTGTGAGAAGTAATACTTTTGAGACCACAACATCTTCAGGTCAAATTTTGATAACTTCATTACCAAATTCATGCAGTGGTAACCAGAAGTGGTCTGCCATTTTTTTCCAAGATGCTGATCCAGTGTGAACTAAATTCGTGAGGTCAACAAAATTTAAGTGGCTTTAAAACTGTCACCATAAAGTTTGTTATTTTTTACTTTTTCATTCTGGATTATATCTTCTTTTTTAGTCAATGATAGGTTTATGGAAATCTGGTGGTTACAATGTATCTTGTTAAGCATTCAACAAAATCTTGTACAATATCCTAGAGAAGAAAAAAAGGCAAAATGTAGGCTTGATTAAATTACCATTATATGGATAGAGAACTGTTTGAGCATTTGTGTGCCATTCATACAAAAATGTCAAATTGGAAGGAAACTTCACATGACGTACTGCAGGGCTCCATTCTAAAGTCAATGTTTTTCATTTTATAAGTTTGGATAATGGGCTACAAAATACAATTCTTACATCTGCAGATGACAAAAAGATGAGCGATAATAAACACACCATGGAGGATAGCTTGAAGCTTTAGTAGAACGTTGACATACTGGAACAATAGGTAGAAACCCACAAGATGAATTTCAGTTAGGACAAATGCAATATTCTACATTTGAGTAGGAAAAATGAAAGGCACAAGAAAAAAGTAAGAAACACATTGAGCAACATGTGTGAAAAGGATCTGGGTGTCTCGGTGACTCACAAGTTGAATGTGAGCCAAAATTTTGACATAGCTGAAAAAACTACAGATGAAATTCTAAATTACATCAAAAGAAGTATAGTGTCAAGCTCAAGAAGAATCACAATTCTCCTATCTTTCTTCTCTGTTATGTGTTGGTTGTACCACATCAAGAATACTCTCTCCTATTCTGGACGCATTTTAGGAAAACTGACAAACTGGAGGATACCCAAATATCAGCAGCCCAAATAATAAGGGATAGAAGGAAAACTTCATGAGCAACACTTGGAGGCAGAGGAAATGTTTAGCCTGGGAGACTTAATGGCTACCATGACCTACCGCAAGGGCTATCATTCTAGAAGACATGGCAGAATGGTTCAAAACTGTTCCAGAAAACAGGATTTAAAAAAAAAAAATCAATGGGTTTAAATGACAATTTTGGGTATGACATTGAAAAAAAACATTTTTAATACTAAGAGCTGGAATGGATTACCTTTGAGATGTGGTGGTCACTCTTTCACTGGAAACATTTAAACAAACTTTGGATTGTCATATGGCAAGAATGCTTTAGTGGTGGCTTTCTGCCTTGGGCAGGGGTTGGACAAGGTGATTGCCTAGGACCCTTCTAGTTTCTAGGCTTTTTCAGACATCAAACCAGCATTTTGCTGTCTATTGGGAGACTTAGTGTGGCTACCTGATGAGGACTAATTAGTCCAAAATAGATCTATCTTAGTCTCCCTTTAGTCTCCCAAAAGACAGCAAAATGCTGGTTTGATATCTGAAAAAGCCTAGAAACTAGTGAATGGGATTTCACTGAGCTATGGCTGTATAAAGATCTTGATTTACATAGGAAAAAACCCGGCTGAGAGAAAAATACACATAAAGGCCTACGAAAAGACAAGAATATATATACACACACACACACACGTGTGTGTGTGTGTGTGTGTGTGTGTGTGTGTGTGTTTTCTGAGGTTTTCGCGGGTATTTGTATGTAGGTCTTTGGTTATTCGGGTTTTCTCCCACGTAAAATTGGAAGTACCTTGGCGACGTTTTGACGAAGTCTCATTCGTCATCTTCAGGCTGGTGTCTTCGACCTTGTGCTTCTAGGAGCAATGTGTGATCGTGGTTGTTTCTTCTGGCAGTTGAAAAGAAGAAACAACCACGATCACACATTGCTCCTAGAAGCACAAGGCCGAAGACACCAGCCTGAAGATGACGAATGAGACTTCGTCGAAACGTCGCCAAGGTACTTCCAATTTTATGCAGGAGAAAACCCGAATAACCAATCCAGGAGCCCTCAAGCAGTCGCATTCACGGCAAACCATTTAATACCAAATTTATGTTTGCTGATAAAGAAATAAAGGGAAATAATATACACGCACACACACACGCATATACATATACATATATATAATGTTCTGCACTGTTTTATTTTCTACATAAATTTTGCTCATCATGCAATGAACAAAAATTGTCAGCCAAAAATATATATTTATCCAAGACTATTTTTAATATTTCCAGCGGCAAATGTTCCTTTTCTCTTCCCTTGGGACATTATTTCCCTGGCCAATTGTTTTTTAGATTAAAGGCAGTTTTCTCTCTATTGAATTAACTCTTGTATAGCATTCAGTAAAAAGATGGTTAATAACTTTAGTCTTCATGTATTAAAAGTAATTCACCTACTGGGGTTACAATTTCGAAATCCTATCTTTCTGTGCTGGAGAAAATTTAGTACCTAATCTATTTATGGATGGAGAAAGGAATTACACTGCCAAGCAGGCATCCTTTCAAACCACAACTGATGCAGGCTCCAGAATCTCACCCTCTCAAGGCTGTCCAGAAAATGTCTTTTGAACCTCGAACAACTGAGAAAAAAAAGATGATTGTGGGCTTATTTTTAACCTTACCCTATTTGCTTCAAGCCTTCCCTCTTCAACAGAAAAGAGTAAAGAAAGCTGCTATTAGTTAT